TATTATTTTGAATATCTCTCGCTTCTCCGTCTGACGTTCCAATTTTTATCCATTTTATTTTTTTTTGTTGTTATTCTCCCACAACTGTTACTACAGTTATTATTTTTATAATTAATACTACTACTGCTAGTAATACTATCTTTACCAATAGTAAACAGTTTCTCCTTGTTGTTGATTCTTTAAATTTCGCTTTCCACTATGTCACTACAAAATTCACAAAGTTTCTCGTTACATTCCATTGTAATTAATCAGTCCCAGGACATATTTTAAGCTGGATTTCATTTTAAAATCGACTAACTCCAATTCATATAATTTGATAAAGATTATAAAATTAAGACTGCAAAACATTCATTTACTCGTAACGCTGCATGCCTTAAGATGAAAAAAGGATTTAGGAAATGAGAAAAGCATATGTTAGATGATGCATCTATTCGATAGGAAAACAATCTGTGTTTCATTCCTTAGCTGTAAATACAGACACTGCTTTACTTGGGAAGTAATCGGTCATTTGGGCTAGTTTCGAAGATCCGATTGTGTCCAAACATAATGAAGATGGCTATCATCAAATGAAATCCAAAGCATAGTAGGTAATAACGATTTATGAGAACAACATAGAAGTTTTTTTCGTGAATGCATGTCACAATATACCTGCTAACATGGTCTCTCATTTTGGTTTGCAGCAGCAGATCCTTTCCAGGCAGTAAATGTCTCGTTATTGTATTCTGACTACTCCGAACAGCCATTCCGTTACCTTCGCATAGCGATGACAGCACATCTAATACCTAAATTACATGATAATTACGTTCCCGCAACTTTGGGGTTGTTCTGTTGTTTTGCTGACAGTAGGTCTTTACCAAGCTGCAGAATTCAGAAACTATTCCGATTTTTTAGCATTTTTTGGAAAAAATCACGAACGAATAGAATTACTTTAGGATCACGTCCGACTTTCTCCAGAAGTGATATCACTGATTTAATATGGCCTTCATTGATCATGTTCAGTGCTTCCGGAGATTCGGTCAGTACACAGTACAAGACATCAAGAATACCTGCAAGCAAACATAAATGTAAAGGCACAATTTGAATCTATAAAAAGATGCTGGTGCAAAAATCACTTTTCTGTGCAAGGTGGACAGCATTTCTTACATTACAATAATTTTATTAAAATAATTCCAATAATTTTACTAATTTCGTGATTTCTGCTTTCAACCTTTCTCTTCCATTCTTCTTATTTTGTTAATATACCTTTCTATTAAAGCAACACACCTACGCCAGCCCGAATGGTCATTATAATTCTTGTAAATTATCGGAAATTCAATTAATTTCTACTGAACGATATGAAATCTCACAAAATTTCATCTGCAGTGGCTGGAACTAAGTGAACAAACAAATATCCAGGTTCCCATAAATTTCATTTAATTCTTTACTAATTTGCGTATTTCTCAGCAATTAATTCCTCTGCAAGAGCGTAT